TTTTAGACATCGCACAAAAAATAGAATGATGACCATTAATAAGTTACTCAGAAGCGGGTGAAAAACAATCGTTTATGCCAAAAATCCGGATGATTACAGAAAAATGGTAAAACTCATTGAATAATACAATAAGAAAAAACCAATTCAATGAATCGCCATCCTATTAGATGAAGACATTAAATCAAGGATGGATTTAAGGGGCCTTTCCTCTAAAAGGAAAAAGTGATAAGAGGAAACTTCCCATGTTTTTATTGATCTTCGAGTGAAAGGACGTGGAGTGGGTCAGACTCGTCACCAACTTGATGCCAATGAAGATCACAATTAAAGACCTTAGAAAATTAACCGGGCTCGCCTAGTGTTTTAACTGCCAGAGATTCCACCACGCACAGAGAGCGTGATTTAAAGCTCCAAAATACCTAAACTGCAGCAAGGATCAACCAAGCAAAGATGCTCCGTGAGCAAAAGGCGAAGTGCACCAACTGTGAGGGCCAACAACCGGAAACTTTAGAGGATGCCTTAGATGTCCTACCTGGGGAAGACCACAGCAACAACAAGCTCTACAGAGAAGGCCACAACAGCAGACCAATGGATCATCGTGCGCACAGATTACGAAAACAACACAACAGTCCAAGAACAATACCATATTGATCTTAACACAGCAACAAGACACGCTAGTGAATTCAGTCAACGAACTGATCACCAGAATTGTCCACATGGCCATATCTGAAATTAAGTTAGCACTGAACTAAGACAGGCTATCAGGGGATACTTGGGGATAGGCTTCTGGAATCCAGGAGGTATAAGGACCTATACCAGAATATCATGGATGAACTGGTCAACAGGTATGAAATCGACGTCGTAGTAATACAGGAAACTAATCTCACTAACAACATCAACATAAAGTTTTCTAGCTCTTTTTTAATGACTATCTTCAATAATAGATGTGTAGATGTAACTATTTTAAAAACAGTTTTAATATTTTATTTTAGTTTGTCAATGTAGACCAATTTGTTAGACCGATCAATCGATTTGTAGGGGTAGCTGGACAATATCAGAATCTATATTACTATATGTTTAATTACACTGGCAATTTAGGATATATTGGAAATCGGGGTTCTCCTGGTAAGCCTAGTTGTGTAGGATATCTGTGTATTATTTTTCTCATAATGAAAAGTATCTCTCTAATGTAGTTTATAAGAATATAATTACTAACTTGAAGTCAAACCATAAAATTGTAACAAATCTTTATTATTTAAGACATTGGATACATTTCGACATCTCTGTCATCCTCATCTATAAATTTATGAAAAGGTAGGTACATGATATATTAAATAGATGGGTGGAATACTTCACCATTTTGGACTATTTCGCCAGCTTTCCGACCAAATAACAACCTAGGCAAATATATCAAAAACAACAAGAGCCAAAATTAAAAACACTTACACATTGGTGTGTACAAACTTAAATGTGGCGACTACCCAAAAACTTACATCGGTCAAACTGGTAGAAACTTTAATAAACGAATAGCAGAACATAAAAGGGCTTTCAATAATAGAAAAACAGAGTCTACATACGCACTTCACCTTCTAGATGACAATCATTCTTTTAATGATGAATTCAAAATTCTTCACATTTAAAATAAAGGCCTTAAGCTCTCCTTGTTAGAATCTATAGAAATTAAAAAATTAAAAAACACAGATATAGTTCTGATTGACCAACTTAAGACAAACAGTTCTCTCCTCCTCAACCTATTTCATTAGAGACTATAAAGTGTAAACGCATGCCAAAAATAGATCATTTGAGAAAGGCAATCAGCCGAAACAACTGTAGGAATAAAAGGTTTAAATAAATTTTGTGGAAGTTTGTAAACAAAGTTTTCAGTGTTTTATTGTTAAAATTCTTGAGAAGGCTAGGACTCACGCAGCAGTTGCAAAGCCGGCATGATTATGATGATGAAGGTTGGTAAATGGAGTATAATTAAAAGAAATAGGAGAAGTTATTAGCGCCATATAAGATAATTGTTAAAAAGGACTAAAATGGTTAAAATGGTGCTACAAAAACAATTAGACTTTTGGAGCCCTTCTTAACAATTATCTCCTTTGGCGCTGATAACATAGCCTATTTATTTTAATTACACTCCATTTATCTACCTTCTCCTAACTATATAGCTGATAATGACAGATGTGTCGAAATGCGTCCAATGTTTTAAATAATATAGATTTTTTATACTTTTGTGGTTTTACTTCGAGTAATTGTATTATTATTATTTTTTTTTATTTTTAATATAGCTACCTGTATACATCAGTAAAATAAACCTATAATAACTACATTTTGAAAGCCTCGAGCTGACTTGTGGCACAGTTAATGTACATGCTTCTCCTCTGTGAAGCCGAACTGTGAATATTTGGCATTTCAGCAGACGGTTTTTAATGAAGAAAATGTGTCGTATCCTAAATATTGCCGTTTTTTCCTTTATCATTCTATTTTTTCTCTTTCGTTAATTTTTTTATGTATTCTTAATACCTCAAGATATTATCAGCTTTGAAATGAAACCATTTTTTTTTAATTATTTTATACCATTTGTAACGATGAGTCCAAGCCATCACCGTTAAACCAGCGTGCGCGCGAACCAACCCATGAAGTAGGAGTGTATCGACAGTAGAAAGGGCAAAACTTTGCTATATAAACCGCATTATTTCCTCATAGAGGCAGAATCGTCAGGTGTTGACTGAAGGTTCTCTTCTCCCTACCCCGGCTTGTGGACGTGTTGAGTTCACAAGTTGTTTCCGTTCCCTACCGCCAGCCGGAGAGCGTGTTGAGCTCTCCATTACCCGTACTCCGAAGCAGTCGTGTTGAGACTGTCGAGGAGTGTCCTATTAACCCGAATCACTTGAGGGACGTGTTGAGTTTCTTTCTTTCCTTTGTACCTATCGTCCGCTGTTATTAAATCGACACATCGTTCACGTAAAATTCCGAAAACACACTTGATTGCCGATAACACTAATTTCATACGACAAGGTCAAACTTAATTTGAATAAATAGGCCAGGTACTGAGAAGACTAAACTAAATTGTAAATATGTACATAAGATTTTTGTCAATTTAATTTAAGGAAGACAATAAAGTTTTATTTTTATTTTGAACTCTGTCTCTGACTGTCCAAAAGCTACCCGGATAGTGACTCCTACGAGAGGACGTCACAGATGGCGCCCGAGCAGGGACGCGAACTTTGGACACGAACTAGAAATTCCAAGTAAAGTCGTAAAAACCCCAAACGACACACAACATACCGATCAAAACATAAAATGGCATAAACTACAAGAAACATTCGAACTAGTACGTACAAACCTGGCAAAAGCTTTTACAACTCAAAGCCATTACTACAACTTACGACGAAGAGAGTGGAAACCGACAATAAACGACAAAGTCATGAAAAGGGAATACCAACTCTCAAATGCCGCCAAAAATTTTAACGCCAAATTAGCACCGAAATTTTCAGGCCCATATACTATAACAAAAGTGTGTTCTAATGTAATATTCAAATTAAAACACGACGATAAAAACCGTACAATAACACTCATATCAAAGACCTAAAACCCGCATTTACCGATTTCCCTACTCCTTAATCAGTCCAAGCACTTACAGTCAACACCAAGTAGTGACAGTATATTTTAATACAGTTTACCTTCAAGTATAATGTCAGACACGTTAGAAATATATTACAGTGACATAGAAATGGACGGCACAGTTACGCCGCCACCATACACCGTTCCAGAGTTAATATCACCATTGGGGAACACACCAAAACCTAACACCCCGGGCAAAGGCTGCGAGCCCCTGATAAAGGCTATTTCCAAATTTAAAAACCTTTTCGATGAACCAGCCATGGGCATCACAAAAATTCAGAAAGTCCAGTCAATTCCAGTGTCAATCCCCGCTGCTCTCACTAATTCCGCCGCAGCATAAAGGAAAAAAATACAGACTGAGACTCCCGAACCAGGTGCTGAGGATAAAAACCAATAATTGAAGCCCCACGAAGGAAGACGTTTTTAAGAGAGGGGAAGACGATTTTTTTTTAAGAAGACGATATTTATTTTTTTAGGGCGGACATTTTTTATTTCGATGTATTGTAAATTGTTTTTTAGGGTAACCAAGTACCTGGCAAGGAATAAAAATAAAAAAATTTTGTTCCAAAATTTTTTTTTTCCCAGGAAGAGGGGGTGTAACGATGAGTCCAAGCCATCACCGTTAAACCAGCGTGCGCGCGAACCAACCCATGAAGTAGGAGTGTATCGACAGTAGAAAGGGCAAAACTTTGCTATATAAACCGCATTATTTCCTCATAGAGGCAGAATCGTCAGGTGTTGACTGAAGGTTCTCTTCTCCCCTACCCCGGCTTGTGGACGTGTTGAGTTCACAAGTTGTTTCCGTTCCCTACCGCCAGCCGGAGAGCGTGTTGAGCTCTCCATTACCCGTACTCCGAAGCAGTCGTGTTGAGACTGTCGAGGAGTGTCCTATTAACCCGAATCACTTGAGGGACGTGTTGAGTTTCTTTCTTTCCTTTGTACCTATCGTCCGCTGTTATTAAATCGACACATCGTTCACGTAAAATTCCGAAAACACACTTGATTGCCGATAACACTAATTTCATACGACAAGGTCAAACTTAATTTGAATAAATAGGCCAGGTACTGAGAAGACTAAACTAAATTGTAAATATGTACATAAGATTTTTGTCAATTTAATTTAAGGAAGACAATAAAGTTTTATTTTTATTTTGAACTCTGTCTCTGACTGTCCAAAAGCTACCCGGATAGTGACTCCTACGAGAGGACGTCACACATTCCATACTTTCTGCTAAATTTCTCAATCGGATCTCTTCATTTTTTTTGCGTGTTTTGTTAATATTTAGGATTTTATTGTTGTATCATACTTTTTAGTTTATTTTTCATTACCTGTATATTTTATTGTTCTTTATTTATGCAAATTTATCTATTTTTAGGTGCACAACATGGAGAAGATGTTGGATATTTGTTTCGTACATATAACAGAAATACATCAAATGAAGATAAAATAATAAGAAAGCGAATGGTTTTAATGTGGTCAAATTTTTGCAAATTTGGGTAAGATGCTTAATATTGGTTCTACAAAAAAAAATTTGAAATTTAAAATATTAAGTTTTAAGAAAAGTCGAATCTATATATAATGATAGATAGATCCGATACTTGTGTAACCCTGTAAGTTTACACAGTTGCCATAGTTGGAAAATACCAGGCCAGATTTACTCCAGAAAATTTAACAATTGAACAGATTCATTTAGATGAAGATCATTGATGAAGAAATATATGATTTGCTAAACAGAAAAGAAGACGAGCAGTCGTATTTGTTAAATCCCATCACGCATAACCGTCCCTATTAGGTGCTTTACGTCGCATGCTATCATGTTCTTCTGTATCGTTATATTCGTTAAATCCTATTATCATCATCGACATCATAAGAAATGTCGAAAAATATAAGATCGTAAGAAGCAATTTCTAAACGAACAATTAAGATGAATGTATATATGTATATATAAAATTTACAATACTCTGCATTTATGAAATAAATGATAAGAAATCTACTGCTGCAAAAGACACGTTTATATCAAAAACTTCTTCTTCTTTCTCTTTATAAGCAATTCTGCTTATTCATTGGCGGATTAATACCTCTATGGAAGGTTGCTTCTATTCTTCTGCCGATTGGTGTTATCTCTTGCTATTTTGACGACACGGTTCTTCCCCATTCTAGTTATGTGCTCATTCCATTGTTTTTTTATTTTGTGTGAAATAATTTATAAACTGTACATTACATGTTATTATAATGTCTTCACTTCTCTTTCGATCTCTCAGCGGATTCATTTCATTGTTAATGTGTCTGTTTTGTCACATAATGTTATTAAGGCATCCTGCCAGTCTATTTGTTTTTTGTACCTGATCTTTCACTTTTTTGTCTAGATCTTAATAGCTAAAAAGTGTAATTCCAAGTTAATTTATTTCCATTACATGCTCAATACTGATGCCATCAATTTCTATTTTACATTTGGTTGGTTCTTTGTTGATAACTATTGCTTTAGTTTTCTCAGATAAGATTGTCATATTAAATTCTTTTGCTCTTATGTTAAATCTGTGGACCAGTCTTTGCGGACTATCTTCATCTTGGGCTATCAATATTGCGTCGTCTGACGCAATATTGATAGCTCATACTGAGTATTTTTATATATTTGTTTCCCATTCTGCATCCTCTTCCTGTTTTACGCTTTTGATGATGTCTATGATACCTATTTCAATAGATTTTGATGTTCATCTACTCTGATTTCCATTTTTTGGAAATGATAATGAAATTAAATGATATGACTAAGATAGTAACTTTAAGAAAAATATTACTTTTAAGGTTTTTAATGCCAAAAACCTGCAATTTACCGCTATATTCATTCATAAAACCACCAAAACATCACATTTAGTCGCATTGCTCCTGTAGTAATCCTTCTCCAAGTTAACATGCTCCTTTTCTAACTTGCTGCGTCGTACTGAAGAGGACCAATGGTCATAAATACGTACATATGGTTGTCTTCCAGCTTATACACATATTTTATTATATTTTTTTCCTTTGTTGCGAGATATACCGATTCCTATTAAATTTATTCTACTATAACTTGCATTAACCTTTTCATGTTGTTTAAAACGTTTAAATGTTTGGCATTCCTTTGTATAGGTAGTTAGCTTCCTCCGTGGATGTATTAGTAGTTGCTCTGGAATTCTCTTTGTGTTTGGAGTGTTGTAGTCCACCCTCAGAACCGATTTTTTTTAATTGCCTATTATAATTTTATGATTTTATAGGTAATATACTTAAAATACTTTTAAATAATTATATTTAATAACATATCACTATAATTATTATAATTACATCTTCTTATTTTCAGTAAACCTATTCCTTCACCAGAATCCGATCTAGACAACGTCAACTGGCTTCCTGCTTCCAGTAGCTCCCCGCCATTTCTAATGAATATTGACTTACAAATGGGACAGACCGCCAATCCATATCAAAGTCATCTAAATTTTTATGATACTCAAATATTTAGTAAGGCAATAAGTGGCAGTACGTATAACACGTACTAATTTTTATTAAATAAAGTACATTAAAATATTTCTTTTTTCTTTGATGTTTAATCATAAAGTTAACCCTTAATTTGTAATCTCACATTAATCCTAACTTCCTGCCGAACCTCATGTTCAGTTTTTTCACATGCGAAAAATCATGTCATTTTTTCTTCTCTCTTCGCTTATCAAGAAGAACAGCATCTCTTCTGACTGTTTTCTATAGCTAATTATCTCTCTCCCGCTTTAGTTACGCGAAAATACCGCAAATGCTATTTTAAATCATGTACAGACAAAGTGTGCTCTATCTCGCATAGTGTTAGTACCGCGAAACACGTGTTTAGAAAAACCGCGAGTGTGCCCGGACATATTGCGCACAAGAGAAAAAACCGCGAGTGTGTGGAGCAGAAAAAATATTGCTAAGACTTTGTATAAACTTAATTTGCTATTGTCTGTATACCCTTTACTTCTTCTTCAAGTGCCGTCTTCGTTCCGAAGTTTGGCTATCATCAAAGCTATGCGTATTTTTGATGCTGCAGATCTAAACAGTTGGTAATTGGTGCAATTGTACCATTCTCTTAAGTTTTTCAACCATGAATGCCTTCTTCTTACTATAGATCTCTTTCCCATTATCTTTCCCTGTATAATCAATTGCAGCAACTGGTATTTATCTCCCCTCATAACATGTCCCAAATATTGTAGTTTGCGCTTTTTAACAGTAAGTATCAGCTCTTTCTCTTTCCGTACTCTCCGCAAAACCTCCACATTTGTTACTTTCTCTGTCCAGGGTATTTTTAATATTCTACGATACATCCACAACTCAAATGCTTCTATCTTTTTGGTATCGATCTTTTTCAATGTCCATGTTTCCATCCCGTAGAGGAGAACTGACATAACGTAACATCTCAAAAGGCGAATTTTAAGTTTTAGACTTAGATCTCTTCCGCAGAACACCTTTTTCAATTTAGTAAATGTGGCTCTAGCTTTCTCTATTCTGGTTCTGATTTCTTCAGAGCAGTCATTATTTTCGTTGATAACAGTTCCTAGGTAATTATATCTTCTTACACGTTCGATTCTTTGATCATGCACGGTTATGTCAGGGAAGTTTTGTGGTGATTTAGATATTAGCATTATTTTTGTTTTGCTTATGTTAAGTGATAATCCGTGTTCTTCACTGCATTCTACTATTTTGTTAATTAGTATTTGAAGATCTTCTCAAGTTTCTGCGATTAGTACCGTGTCATCGGCATATCTCAAGTTGTTTATTCGGATGCCATTTATCTTAATACCTATATTTTGATCCGAAAGTGCTGTGTTTATAATGTCTTCGGAGTATAGATTGAATAAGGTCGGTGAGAGTATACAACCCTGTCTTACGCCTTTCTTGATCTCGATTTCCTCCGTTGTCTCTTGCTCTATTCGGATATTTGCTTTCTGGTTATAGTAAATCTTAGAGATAATTCTAATGTCCCTTTTATCCAAGTTTTTTTCTACTAGCAGTTTCATTAAGTGGTCGTGACGAACTTTATCAAACGCTTTGTTGTAATCAATAAAGCACATATATATATCTTGGTTTATATCTAGACATCTTTGGCATATGACGTTAAGTGCAAATAGTGCTTCTCTTGTTCCAAGCCCGTAAGTTCCATACCCTTTACTACATATCCTAATTTATTTGAACCAGCCCACATACGCTGAAATTATACTCATAATTTCCCACATATGTACAATTAGACTTCCGGTAGAATTAGATCAATTGCGAAGTAGTTCGACAATAATTTCCTAGTTCTAGTCCTAGCTTTTTGATGAATTGCACGCGGTGTTTGAACTGTTAGAGTTCGTAGTCTAATTATAATATTTACCTCATCAAGTAGTACGTAAGTCAGTGTATTTATTTTAAAGTTACCAATAAAATTAATGTTATTTCTATGAAATCTATTACCAATAAAATATTTCTTACCTTCTCATTATCTTTCAATCCATTTCCAATCCAATAGATCTAGTAGAAGTTCTAAGTATCTCATTGAGTAAATTGAGTAAAATTGCCAGACATGCATAGAAAGGATGCGAAGAAAGTGCCAGGCAGTCATTACTGTAAAGAGTGATACCACCAAGTACTAGGCTTAATGCATAATTTTAAGTGTTTTCATGTAACTACTCGTGTTTTTTTCCATCGTACATTTGTAAACTTTATAAGGTTATAAATCACATCTAAATTTTATGGGCTGGCTTGAATAATTTGATCACCCAATGTATATAAGTTTTGATGTTATCAGTTGTTATTAACAGGTCCTCGAAGACACTTCGTCTCAGGACCATTTTACCTATGTACGGTCATACGTCGCCATGTTACCAATTCCAACGGTAACTTAAACATCCTAATCTGTAACCATATATAACGTAAAACAACTGTAAATTTATATCATTTAAAGGGTTTGGACCCATTATTTTGGTGACTCATAGCATGTATACCTCGTTTGCACTGATGATGGATTGAATAATCCGAAAACGTTTTGCAATATCTTTGTGATAGCCCGTTTGGGCATTTTATTATATACCTTTTATAAAGGATTTTAAATAAAAAATTTTGTAATATATGGTATACAGCCAGTTACAGGAACTTAGTTTCCTAGTGGAATTTTAACTTTTATATCTAGTTTATCTCTTTTGTTAGTTGTTTGTTATTGACTAAAATCTTTTAATTTTTAAATCTCTCCATTTGAATCAAAAAAATAAAATCTTATTTTTGTTTTCTAATATACAATACTTACTTAATACTAAAATAAACATACAAATCTATTTATCCTACTCCACCATCAAACACGACGTTTAAATTAAAAAATACCTTATTTAGTTTATTTATTTCAGTTGTGATAAAAATTTATAAAGAAATATGCTCCAAAGCCATAAAATATATTACTTAGGATTAGTTCTAAATGTTTTATTTCAAACGATAATTGTAAGTACTAATGTTTTAAATTGTTACCATTATCATCATTATTCTTTCTCTGTCTTTATAATTTCCTAATTTGACTAATTTCATTTCTTCAAGCTCCCCTCTTGGGTCATATCAATATCAACCACCATTACCGACATGGCACGTTAAGCGTCTCCTTCAGCTCTTCTTCTGTCTTTCTCTCTTACTACTTCAAGGGAGCTTACATTCCATATTTAACTTCAGATATTCTTCTACGGTTTTTAAGTCCCAAACCCTAAAATCTTTCGCTGTCGTCGAATCCTGAAATCTTAATCCATGATTAGTTATTATTATATGTAGATACTGATTGACATGGTCATTACTCTTAAAATATCTTTAGCGATTTAAAAAAAAAGTGATTTTGCATTGCCTATCTTCATGCCCTTGGTCATTTATCGTCTAATTCATTTTGGGAGAATTATTTATTCTAAAAACAAAAGGGTGAAAGGGTGAAAAGACAAAAAAAGTATCAGTTCTTTTACTCGAAATTTGGTTGCATCTAACTGACAATCAATCATATTTCTTTAATGGCGACTTCTTTTGGGATATTTTAGAGCTTTTTTAAGATAAGCTTTCCTAAGGCATACATGTTATGGTCTCCAGTATCATTGCTTTCTGATTTGGAACTACTTATTCAATACATTTGCTATTAACCTTTATATCGGAAGGCCATTCCCTATCAACCACTTGTGACCTTACTGGTAACCTGAAGTTTCAGTCTCAGCAAACAAGAGCTTGTACATTACGTCAAAAATAAACACAGTTTCAAAAAAGCATTTCATACACTCTTCTTGAAAATTGCAATAATGATGCGGAGCATTCCTTAAGTTAATATATATTTTAAATCTCCAAGTAATTCTTCAATAATAAATGTTTTCTTGGTGAATTGCCCCTCCAAAAACTCTTAATATACATTTTATTAGATTTCCGAGATTATTTTGGACGTAATTCTGAACATGTATATTTCTTAACTCTTTTTTCTTCTTTTTCATGTACCATGTCCCTTCAGAACGTTGATTGCAATCATAGCTATCTTAATTTTATTCACTGCCACGCTAACTAGCATGCTTTTATCAATACCATACTAATCTAACAAGTTCTTGAACCATGAAGTCTTTCTTCGTCCTGAACTGCGTTTGTCTGCTATTTTCCTTGCATAATATTTTGTAGCAATCTATCTTTGGGACCTATCATTACATGTCGAATGTACTCCAGCTTTCTCTTCTTGATTTTTAGAATCTCAGTAGTCTGGCTAAGACGTTGTAGTATTGTGGACTTCTATAGTACCACATTTAGAAAGTCTTAAGGTGATTTATATCATTTTTATTCATAAGTCCAAGACTTGATACCATAAAGTAAGATTGGGAACACGTAGCAGCAAAGGAGGCGGATCTCTTTTCTGCCAGCCCTAATTTTTCGCCTTTACTCAGTAAATTCTTCATTTTGGACCCATAAACAAAATTTCCACAAGACACGTTCTTAATATTACTGAAATCTAACCTTTCTATTTGTTTCAATCAATGGCAAGATGAGACTGAAAGTCCAAAGAGCAAATTCTGCTATTCCTGTGCCTCTATGTATACTTTGATTCAATTAACAAATTATTTTAGTGTATTGAAGTGGACACAGAAGAAGGAAGAATTTTAGGGCGCACATATTTAACTGCATATGGAAATAATATCTGCTATGCATTTCAAGGAATACCCTTTGCAGAACCACCTAAACGATTTGAGGTAAGAACAAATATAAAATATTAAGGTTATTAACGACACATTCATAGTTATGTACTTACCAACATAATACTTACTTTGAAAAGTTACATTTATGTGTTTTACTGTTAAATTAGTATCACATATATTCCAGACAGACTTATAAGTAAGATTTGTATGTTCTATTTGGAGTCTATTAATCTTTCGTGATTTGAAGTAAGGTAATATTTCATAGTTTTAAAAGTAATATTTCCACTCGTCTGTCACAAACTTATCACCTAAATTGTATGTAAACTTTAAAGATATTAGTCACCACCTTTGACACATGTACCATCATTTTACTCATATAAACTTTTCAAGACAAAAATCCACTTCTTCACGGTAGAATACGTTGAGAATTATGATAATATTGGAAAAAACAAAGGAAAGGAATGGAAAGGATTTATGAATGACCAAGAGCTTAGTGTGATTAACTCAACCTGTAAAATGCACGGAAAGATATCTAAAAATCTACGTTTTCTACATTCATTTCATAATTAAGTTTTCTAATTAATTTGTTATTTTTTAAGATTGCCATATATGTTTGTAGGTATGTTTACCATTGTCGTTGTTTTACACAATATTGTGTGCAATTTTTCTGTGCCTACTGTTTACAATTTACTGATTATTAAAATAATATTGTTTTATTATTAATTGTAATTCACTTAAAATAAATCCTTTAATTACTCATATAGATATCAAAACATATTTGGTAGGATCTTAATAAATAAATAAACACATCAACAATGTGTACGGAAAATTCTAAAAAATTTAAATAAATATGTATAGAAACTTTTTATGATAAGGTAATTTTTTTTAATAATCTAGTGATTTATATAAAAAAATATCTCAAATATTGAAAATGTGACTATGATGGACCCCTTAAGGAAAAAGCTGCATATTAATTTTAATTATTTATTTAGCAGGCTTTAAATATGACCACATAACGTATTGTTATTTGTACAATATGCAAATGTTTCAATTTTAATAAAAATTAAGACGACAAAAGTTATTCATAGTTTACTAATATGCCCCTGAAGATGCTATTTTAAGCGAAAGTACTTGGGCTAGATTTAATTAACTTGTGCTCGATAATAGCCTTATTTTCAAAGTTCATTTATTCGAGCATTCAACCTCATTTCAATCAACTATCTTAATATGTTGTAGAAATCTGTCTACCACTTCGAAATTCACCACTTGGTGTATGTGTGATAGATTATTATTTTTGGCTCCTTCTACGATATTTATTTTTGCTTTTCCTGTGTTGATGTGAAGTCCGAATTCTTCACTTCACTGGCTTAGCCGTTCAGTAATAGTAATCATTTCGACTTCATTCGCTGCTGGTATAAGTGGATCAACTGCGTATCGCAAGCTGCTGATTATTCTGTCTTCTATAGTAACTAACACAAACTAATTATTTATTTTTCTATTTTTAGCTACCAGTTCCAAAAGCAATTTGGACTAATACTTTGAATTGTACTTACGATAGATCTTCCTGTGTTCAAGGTACTACTTCAGTTACTGGTTCGGAAGATTGTTTATATTTATCTGTTTTTTCTCCAAATGTAAGTATTGATTGCTATTATACTACTAAGTTATTTAAAAAAATTATAAGTAGAGCACTTACAAAGTTGTAACTACTATTTTTACTGGGAAATGAAGTAACGATGTAGTAAACAATATATAGCTTACATTTTTAACGACTAATATTTTACTTTTTTAGTTAACAGGCAATGCTCCAGTCCTTTTTTGGATCCACGGTGGGGCATTCATTGCTGGAAGTATCTCTTTTGATTCCTCTAAACCAGATCATTTTATTAATCAAAATGTAGTTGTAGTAACAGCGCAATACAGATTAGGAATTTTTGGCTTTATGAGCACTGGGGATCTAGTCTGTCCAGGAAATCTTGGACTAAAGGATCAAGTGATGGCACTCGATTGGACCAGACGAAATATTCAACATTTCGGAGGTAATCCAAATGACATTACAATAGGCGGCCTTAGTGCCGGTGCTGGATCCGTTGGTTATCATCTACTTTCTCCAAAATCAAAAGGTAAGTTTGTTATTCTATATAAGACAGTACCCACAAAACAAAACAAAAGAATTAATCCTTTATTATCTTATTACTCGCGGCTGCTCGTAACTCTTAAATAATTAACATTTTCCCAATTTTCACGATGCTTAAATTTCCATAAATCGAAACAAATATATTATATTAGTAGGTACATGTATAAAGGTAGGCAAATATATTAGTATAGGTAAAAGTTTATGGACAAAGACAACAATCATATTTCCCTTGGTCTTCCCTTCACATTCCTCATGCACACCCATTACTGAACGCCAGACGATTATTTCCGATCCAGATTATACGTAAGAAACAGCAGAAGGGTTACCCTATTACATATTTTAATTACAATATTGAATTGATATCAGTGACTTGGTTAAATTACCATTCAAAACTGGATGATGATATTAAAAATAAAACACTGATTGACACAAATACTGGTAGAAACTTCAACGAAATTTGGTTTCAACAAGACGGCTGTCCTGCACATAATGCAAAAGCCGTTAGAGACTATTTAGCATTAATTTTTGCTAAACGTGTCATTAGTACAGACGGTGTAATAAAATGGCCTCTTCGGTCACCTGACCTAACTCCTCTAGATTTTTCTTTTTGGGGATGCTAAAAACGAAATTGTAGAGGCATAAGTTCGAGCGAGCCACCAACTTTTAGGAACTGAAGGTATAGATAATCCTGCTTGGCTAAAACATATCGGCACATAAACTCAACATCATGAGAAATGCGTTGTATAATAGATTTGGTTATTGTTCGTTACAATTTGGTTGTCTGTTAGAACATTTAATTACCTAAGAATTTTATTTGGTTTAGAATGTATAACTGTTTGGAATTATTTTTAATTTAAACAGTAATGTTGGAATTATTTTTTATTTGATTTTATACTTTTATACTAATTTTATCTTTTTTGTTTCATTTTTATAGATCTAATTTTTGTTTTCACACTACCTATCTACAAACAATCTAAACGAAAATATGGTTTAAATATACATTTTGCTTTTATCTTTTTTAGGTAAATTTCAAAAAGCAATCATGAACAGCGGCAATTCTGAATGTCTATGGTCATACAATAGAAATGCAGTGCTAACAGCGTTTAAAACTGGTGAAAGTTTTTTAATTTTTACTACCGATTCTGAAGAACTTGTATCTGGTTTAAAGGATGTCGACTACAAAAATCTACAAATTAATTCAATTGCCGTGGCATCGTCGGTAAGTGTTTTTTTTATATATTTCTCCAACATATTAGACCAAGGTGGATTTGTTTTGAGGTGGATTTGAAGTTTGAAGGTTTGAGTAAGCAGCAAGGATTGCTGTGTGGTCTGCGTATGTGGATGTGACGATGTTTTGACTTGTAGGAAGATCTGCTATGTAAAGTAGGTAGAGAACAGGTCCAAGGACACTACCCTGGGGTACTCCAGCTTTAATTGGATATCAGTTAGTGCACTGATCCTTTACTTTTACAAGGAAATAACGGTCGAAAAAATAGGACTTGAGCAGACTGGACCAGACTTTATCAAAAGCCTGCGAGATATCCAACAATGTTGCAGAACAGTATTTCTTGTCTTCTAAGGCTTTGTTTCTCTGGTGGTTGGGTATTAGCTGCTATTGTACGAGGATTAGCTGTAATATGTCTAGTAGTAGTTTTTCAAAAACCTTTGACATCACTGAAAGTCTATAGGTGTATAAATAGGTCTATAGGACTTAACTTCTTTTACAGGTTTGCCTTGTTTGGTAATAAAATGATCTGTGCAACTTTCCACAAAAAGAGAATATTAACCTTAGGGTTGTGTTAAAAATCTGTGTTAAATATTGCACTCCTCTCTTGGGAAGTTCTTTTAGAATTCTTGCAGTGATTAAGTCGAACCCTGGGGACTTCTTCGGATTCAGATCTGTTTGGATTTTGTTGAAAATTTGTTTAGCAGTGAATTCCTCCAATGATGCTTCTAGTTGGTATGGAGATTCTAGATACGATTGTATATTATCTTCTACATCGAGGTTGTTGTTTTGAGTATGTGGTTGGAATACTTCCTCCAGGTATTTCGCAAATACTGTGGCTTTTTCTTCGTTACTTTTGGCCCATTGTCCGTTACTGGCCCGGATAAGCGGATTAGAAAGTTGTGGTCAATTAATGTTTCGTGTTGCCTTCCACAGTGAACATTTGGAGGCTTCTGTGGCAAATAGATTTTGTAAATATCATTTTATATTATTTTTTATTGTTGTTTAACAATTTTTCTCCTGAGGTGCTCGGGTTCTTTGCCATACTTTCCTTAATCTTCGTTTTTCTGCGATTTTTTCTTTTATTTTGTTTGGTAAGTCTTTTTGTACGATTGTTTTTGTTTGTGTAGGTGTTGACTGCTAGCCAGCTTTCTGAATTATCTTATTTAATTGATCTACTACTTCGTTAATATCGTCATCATATTTTAGTGAAATGTTTAGATCCAGTCTGCCATCAAGAATAGCCAGGAATTTAATCCAATTGGTATATTTATTACTAAGATATGACTGAGATTCTGTTTCTAGGATATCTTTGGATATCGTGACAATGGTATCGTTGTATTGGTGACAATTATTGGTGGACCAATATTGGTGACACTGATAGTCATAGTAATTGTTTTTGACATTGTTGACAGTATGACAGTTATTATATAGAATTACAGGAAATGACAATGCCTAATGACTCTAAAGAAGTCTTGATAATTTTATTTGTTTCTTGTAAGTCGGGGAACCCCGGACCTACACAGGTGGTTCATAATAGATGACAGTGTCAGAGAACCCCAGGCAATAGGCAGACACCAGGTTTGATGAATTCGCGATAGCGCCAATTCATCAAACTGTATTGAGTGTGGCCTATATGTGGAATTAGTCAACGCGATCTTATCTTGTCGCTGTAGTATATTTAATAGTCACATAATTGTTGGCTTTCAAAAATAACTATTTTTTACTAAATTTAATAAAATATTTTAGCCACTTTAATTTTCCCAGATATTAGTCGTTTTAAAAAAGTTTTTCCCCAGTCCCCAAAGATTCTGAATTTTTCCCAGTTCTGAGGAAAAATCTCCAGACCTGGCATCCCTGCTACGAACACAGTTGTGTGTTCGTAGTTCTCTGGTCTTTATAAAGTTGCAGCTGCTCTTTAGGAACAGGTATGAACATCTGACATCGTTGCCAAATATAATGCTTATAAACAAAAATAGAAGAAAGAGCTACTACGGCGACTTAGGCCCGGCGCAAATTGAGCACAGCCCACACACATCCCACGCGCAGCCCACGCGTGGTTATTTTGTAAAACGTGGTTTTAGACGGAGCGACGCATATTAAACCCAAACCACGGCCAGGCTACTGCCAGACTTGGTTGGCGTGGATAGAGTTGTGCTAGCAACACAGTTTCGTGGGCCGTGGGTCTCTACCTAACCTTAGTTATTTTGTTTTGTGTGACCAATTTTTTGTTATTTAGTGAAAATGGAAAAGTTTATTGAAATTGTTCGAAGCTTTAGTGTCTTGTATGATACTAGTAATGAAGATTACATGAGAACAAAACTAATATTTTTTTTATTTGTGCTAGCGACTGGGATGTAAGTCGCCGTTATATTTATTCAAAAAAAATTAATTTAAATTAATTTTTTATTAAATCAAATGAGAAATATAACAAATCGAGAACTAACGAAAAAAACATTTTCATTTCCTAGCAAAATGTTTATGAACACCTAAGATGAAAACTTCAAAATAAAATTTGATGGTACTTTTTCGTGATGCTCATATTGTAATGGCTTTTATACACTGAAATTAAATTAAAAAAGAACATGAAAAAAGTAGAAAAATAATAAAAAATTCTCAAATTTTAAATTTATCTCGAAAACAAAATACGATCTGGAATTTTTGTATTTTTTTAGCTCTTCTGTTGTTTATTACCTTATTTCACTTATTTCAACAGTACCTTGTATAGTATTTTGTTAGAGGATTCCAACTTAGTACTGTCAGCATTGTAAAAGTTTCCAAGAAATTAATATCCGATGGAGTTTTCAAAACAAGCGAAATGAAAGTCGAAATATTCAACGGCATTGTGGCCAGTTACAATATCTGCCTGTTATGCTAATTCGTAATTAAAAAGTCAATATTGGCAAAACCAGCTTATTCAAATTATGGGTATCTGCCTGTTATAGTCTTTTGTTGAAGGATTTCAATTTATTACCCTTATTATATGTAAAAGTTCTCAAGAATTAATATCAGGTTTAGTTTTCAATGAAACAAAATTCTAATCTTTAACAGAATTGTTACCATGTAAAATATCTGCTTGTTAAGCTAATTCGTAATTAAAAGTCAATATTGGCAAAACCAGCTTATTCAAATTATGGATATCTACCTGTTATAGTCTTTTGTTGAAGGATCTCAATTTTATTACCCTTATCATATGTAAAAGTTCTCAAGAAATTAATATCAGGTTCAGTTTTCAATGAAACAAAAATCTAATCTTTAACAGAATTGTTACCATGTAAAATGTCTGCTTATTATGCTAATTAGTAATAAGAAAGTCAAATCGGCAAAAGCAGCTTATTCAAATTATATCTATAGTCTTTTGTTAAAGGATTTCAATTTTTTACCCTTAGCATTTGTGAAAGTTTTCAAGATATTTATATTTTCAGATTAGAAATTGTTAGTGGGATATTAGGTAAAAATTAAAAGGTCTAGAAAATAAAATCTTTATTTAAACTAATATACTGAAGACAGTCTATCTTTTCGTTGAATGGTATTTGCGAAAACAATCTCCTATGCATAGTCCAGGTTTTTCGTCACAATCAGCACACTCGTAAATTGTGTTTTTTCTAATTTTATGGATAGAACATATTCTAGACAAATATTTGACATGGGCGTGGGCTGTGTTCAATATGCGTTAGTATTGAAAAACGTGTACTTGCTCCGGTCTTCCTTAATTTAAAATTTATAAGTACGTTTATTTTATAGATTACGGTACAAAATATATTGGTTGGTATCCTATTTGGAGGAGTAATTGAAGTTAACGATAAGGATGCCTTTTACTCAGGAGAAGCGGATAAACAATTTCGTACCGGTGATTTTAATCAAGTTCCATTATTAACAGGGATGACAAATAATGAATTAGCAGCATACCAAAATCCTGAAAATATTGGTAACTATATATTGTTTTATATACTTTTCATCGTACAACAAACACTATTTTTCATTTTTCTTTTCATTAAAGATACCCATTTGTTAATAATTAATTAAATTATTAAATCAAAAATAAAATTTTACTTTAAGTTGTCTGTTTTAGCTGTTACTGAAGCCGCATTAGCCAATCTTGATTTGAAGCCTTGGAATTTGGTTCCTGCAAGTATAAATCTTAGTGATTATAAAAGAGCTTTAGCATCAGCTAAAATTAAAGCTAAATTTTTTAATATATCTCTGCCCATGTCTACGCAAGTACCACAAGCAATACAGGTAAATGATACGTTACGTTTGATTGTTACATTTTAATTAATTATTGAATAGCAATCTAGGCAACTACGAATAACAGCAATATGAAGAAAGGGAAACGAAAAGACAACAGTCAAATAGTCGAGCAATTGACAAATCGGTGTCAAACTGCTTGTCTGTACTCAGGAAAGATAATGATGAATTAATAATCAACAAGGAGAAGCTGATTTAAATACATCAAGAGGAAGAACATGAAGGGGATATATATTGGGGAAGACCTCTGACAATATACCAGCCAAATTCCTTAAGTATGGAGGATAAACTCTACATAGACAATTACACAAACTAATAAAACTTATATGGAATTAAGGGCAAATACCAACAAAATGGAACGAACGTGTAATATTGAGAACAAACTAAGTTCTCTCAATACAGAGGCATCTCTCTACTTAATAAGCTTACAAAATGTTAACGAATATACGATAAAGTAGGCTAACACATTTTGTAGAAAATTTAATAGGAGAGTACCAAGCTGGATCCAAAAAAATAGATCGATCATAGATCAAATTTGTACTGTAAAGCAGCAGCTTGAAAAAGAATGGAAATTCAATAGAACTATCCATAATTTCTTTATAGATTTCAGATGAGCATACGATAGTATTAAAAGGGATCATATGTGAAATGCAATGGCAGAACTTTAAGTTTCAAAAAAACTTCATTTCGTTAAAATACGTGCAAATGGCTGTAGATCCGGAGTAAGGATGGGTAACAAACTCTCAGAATCGTTTGAAATGAACAGAGGCCTGAGATAAGGAGGCACGCTGTCACCTCTCTTTTTTAATGTAATGCTAGAGAATGTAGTACGAACAGCACAAATTAGAACAAAACTACTGACAGTAAATGGGGCAAAGTTACTACTAGCGTAGGCAGTTGACATTGACGTTGTCCGAAACACAGTCACCAATGTCAAGGAAATTTTCAATAAAGTAAAGATAATATTGTTCTGAAGCTATTTTCTTGTGGCATTGTAAATTAATTACTATTTAATTGGGAATAAGCCACAATTAAAGATAAAAAATACGTTTATTGACGTTTCAATTTCCACTTCGGAAATCGTTCTCAAAATACAAACAGTAAATTAAACAAATTTTGTTTTTTGTTACATAGTGAAAAATTCTTCTAATAATTTAATTGTATCTCACTCATTTATATTGACAATCCAGACATACATTATGCATTTTAAAGTAGACGACTTTAAAATGATATTACCAATATTGTTGAGTTTCGCTCCTGGGACGACTTTAGTTATAAGACAGATCATTCGATTACATGAAATCAACTTTAACTTGAGAATATCCGTCAGAAAAAAATCATAGCATGTAATTCGTCTTTAAAAAGACAAACACATGACATGATGACAGTAAAATTTTCCTGTTAGTGATTCCATAGTAAATTATGAGGGAAAAACCAGGAAAAGACCCTCATAATACTATCCTTAATCGTTTATAAATAAGGAATTTTCAACAATCGATCGAATAGAGCAGAACAACTTAGAACGAGATCCTACAGCATACACAAGGAATAATATGAGGAAAATAACAGTACCGTACATAAAAGGATTATCAGAAAAACTTAAAAGGATAGAAAATAAATTCAACATTTCAACAACATTCAAAACAACAAACACGTTGAGATCTATTTTGTCCAAAACCAAACCTAACAATGAACAAGAAAGGACAAAGAATTGCATTTATAAAATACCTTGTGAATGCGATCAGTTTTATTTAGGTAAATCATCAAGGCCATTAAATGTTAGAATAAGTGAACATCAATCTTATATTAAAAATAGAGAATTTGATAGATCTCAAATATGTAAACACGCATGGGATAATGAACATAGGGTTTAATGAAATAATTCAAATGTAGTCCTAGAAGAAACGGATGGTAAAAAAAGAAAAATTAAAGAAGCGGCTCTAATTATGCTAAATTAGGCCAATTGTGTCGCAAATTCCTCGGCAGAATGTAGTAGGATATGGTTACCAATATTGAAAGAGAAAGTTATTAATAAGAAAATACCAGTATTAGTAAGTCAGTAACATTTATGTTTTTTAAATAACGTAACATATAAAATCAGAATTTTGATGTTTGTTGAAGGTAAACTAAATTCACGAACAAATACTTACAATGTCGGGATAGTATTATGAGGTTTTTTTTCTGCTTTTTCCCTCATAATTTACTATGGAATCACTAACAGGAGAATTTTACTTGTCATCATATGTCATGTGTTTGTCTTTTTAAAGACGAATTACATGCTATGATTTTTTTCTGACGGATATTCTCAAGTTAAAGTTGATTTTATGTAATCGAATGAACTATCTATAAGTACAGTCGTCCCAGGAGCGCAACTCAACAATATTGGCAATTTCATTTTAAAGTCGTCTACTTTAAAATGCATAATGTATGTCTGGATTGTCAATATAAATGAGTCAGATAAAATTAAATTATTAGAAGAATTTTTCACTATGTAACAAAAAACAAAATTTGTTTAATTTACTGTTTGTATTTTGAGAACGATTTCCGAAGTGGAAATTGAAACGTCAATAAACGTATTTTTAGCTTTAATTGTGGCTTATTCCCAGTTAAATAGTAATTAAAGTAAAGATAAGACAAAAAACCAGTTTAAGCGTCAATGAAGAGAAAACCAAATATTATGTGGATTAAAAGACAAGAGAGACAAGATAGCATAGAACAAAATGTAACACTAGACCCATATAATTTTGAAAGAGTGCAGAGTTTTAAATATCTCTGAGCAAAAAATCACTGTGGAAAACGAAATCACGGAAGAGATAAAAGAAAGAATTTAGGCAGCAAACAGATTTATGTATAGCCTCCGCAACACTATTAAATCCAAAACTTTACTTTACTTTATCGTGTCTGGACATGTCATTCATAAAATTTCGGCCCAGTATCGGGCTACGTCAGTTTCGTCTTTGTTGGCGAGCCACAAATCTTCAAGGGTACATCGATGAGGACAGTTTCTGTATGTAACATGTTCCATATTCTGTGTTTCTCCACAACAGTCACAGTTCACATCATCTTGGTTTATTTTTCCCCATTTTGCCATGTTTGATTTTACTGTAGCAACCCCCGTTCTTATCCTATTTAAGGTTTTCCACGTTTTAAAGTCTAAGAAGTCTAAAGTCAAGGAAGCTTTTTCTAGATTTTAGTCGCTTTCGTGGTGTTCGAGCTTTGTATAGGGCATGCCGATCGTCCTCGATCTGTTTAATTTTCTCTATGTGTTCTGCAGCGCCTCTGCGTGTGAGGGTTCTGCAAAACCCGCTGCTCTATATAGATTTGAAAGTGGCGTTGGTTTCATACACCCCGTTACTATCCTGCATGTCTCATTTAGCGCAATATCAACTTGTTTGGTGTGGGCAGATCTGCTCCAAACGGGGCATGCATATTCAGCAGTTGAGAAACACAGTGCCTGTGCCGTTGTTCTTAAAACGCCCAGGACGTGCGCCCCATTTACTTCCCGTTAGCTTTCTGAGTATGCTGTTCCTAGTTGTTACTTTTCCTCTTGTTTTTATGCAATGTTATCTGTAGGTGAGGGACCGGTCCAGAGTTACTCCTAGATATATAGGTTGGTTTGTATGTTCTAATGTATTACGATTCCACACAATTTGGAGTTTTCGCTTGGCTTCCTTTGTGCGAAGGTGGAAAGTGCAAACTTGGGTTTTAGAGGGATTGGGTCTCAGAGAATTCTGCAGGTAGTACGCTGTCATTGTTTTTAAGGCAATTTCGAGTTTCTCCTCCACTTCTTCAAAACTATTTCCTTGAGCACATATTGCAAGATCGTCAGCATAGAGGAAGTGCTTGGTTTCGGTCGGAGTAGGTTGGTCGTTTGTGTATATATTGAAGAGCATTCGTGCTAAAACACTTCCTTGTGGGAGGCCGTTTTTTTGAACTCTCCACCTACTTACTTTACCCTCCAGCATAACGAAAAAACGTCTATTTTTCAGTAAGGAATATACGACCTTTCCCAGATGGTGGTCATTGAGAGTGTCGTATAATTTGCGGAGCAATGTTTTGTGCCTTACTGTGTCATAGGCTGCTGTCAGATCTACAAAAGCAGCCCCTGTTATAAGTTTTTTCTTCAAAGCCCTCTTCAATGTGTTCTGTTAATGCGAGGACTTGACCGGTGCAAGATTTGCCAGGTCTGAATCCTCCTTGTTGTGGGATGAGGCGCTTGTCGACATTTTTTTCTATTCTGGCGAGTATGAGTCTCTCGTATAGTTTAAAAAAAGTGACACAATAGCGAAATAGGTCTGTAGCTACTGGGGTCTTCTGGATCCTTTCCTGGTTTTAACAAGGCTATTACTTTAGATTTCCTCCATGATTTTGGAATTTTGCAGGTTTTGCAGCACGTGGTATAAAATTGCAAGATCCAGTTTTTTGTTCCTTGGCCTAAATGCTTTATTTGTTTACTGCATATATCATCCATACCTGCAGCTTTCCCGTTTTTAACCTGTTCAGACCGTCGTGGAGTTCTTTTAGTGTAAAAGGAGTTCCTAGGTGGTTTGTCTCCGAATCCAATCTTCTCCTAGTGTTTGGGTCCTTAAATCGGTTAGTAGTTCTTCCATTCGTAAGTAGTTGAGTAGAGAAATCCAAAAGCATAGCACGGACGTCAAAAACCAGGACATATAAAATATTCTTTTGGAATACCCGGTATATTATATGTGATTTCCATTATAACTAATAGTTGTGACTTATCCCTATATAAACATAATATTTATCTTGAACATCCCGTAAGAAAATAGTTTCAGAATCTTTTGTTTGTTTTGTTTTAAGATTTAAAAAATTATATACTTATTATAAGGTAAGTCCGGGAGGGACGGGCCACTTTTTTTCTAATACAGATTATTTGAAAACATGACTAGTTATGATACGATTTTTGGAAAATAATACTTTTATAGTTTATATATTTATTGTGCAAAATAAAAAACATGTAACTTGAGGAATATAAACGTTATATAGATTAACATAAATACTTCTTATTTGCCCATCTATACCAATACGTAAATACAGACAGATGGGCCATTGCTATTGCTAGAGTTGGACTAATTTGAAACACATAAAATAATTATGTTAACCTATTTCTTTTTACTAGCAATTTTTTCACACGAATCACATTTTCAAATTTTGTAGTTGTTAGGGCACCTTCTTCTTCTTCATGTACCATGTCCTTTCAGAACGTTGGTTACCATCATAGCTATTTTAATTTTATTCACTGCCACCCTAAATAGCATGCTTGTATCTACACCATACCAATCTCGCAAGTTCTTCAACCATGAGTTTCTTCTTCATCCTGGAATGCGTTTGCCTGCTATTTTTCCTTGCATGATATTTTGTAGCAATCTATATTTGGGACCTCTCATTACATGTCCGAAATATTCCAACTTTCTCTGCTTGATGCTTTTTATGATCTCAGTAGTCTTGCTGAGACGTTCTAGTAATGTGGAGTTACGAATCTTCTCCACCCAGGAAACTTTTAGAATTCTTCTATAGCACCACATTTCGAAAGCCTCAAGGCGATTTAGATCGACTTTATTCACAGTCCAGGACTCGACAGCATAAAGTATTTCAAAAGCAATTTCAGGTCTCTGTTACATAACACCTTGGACATCCTTCTAAAAGCAGCTCTAGCCTGCTCTATTCTGGATCTAATTTCGCCGTGATTTTCTGCATTACAATTTAATTGCTATCCAAGGTAGACGATTTTATCAACTTGCTCAAGTTTGGTATTATTTACATATATAGACGGTTTTATATTCTGTTGTTTACTTATTACGAGTATTTTGGTTCTCCTTAGGGCACCAGTGTTTGCAAATCAAACATTGAACCCAGTCACCTTTTCTGGATGTTTTTCGGTAATCTTCACTACAACCAATGCACCCATTTTCATTAAATTCTTCTTCGTCTTCGCTGTCATCCTAAACTGGCCCATCTGCATTCATACCATTATCAGACGAATTTAACTAATACTTTTTACATTGACGCCTTTTATTTTGCTGCTTTGGAACTGTCTTTTTTTTATTCTTGTTTCTTTACCTTCTTTTCTTGAATTTTTTCTGCAGAATTAAGAATTTCCGCCACTCTGCTTGCTCGGCCCCTTAAACTCTTTTTTACAGTGTCCAATAATTTTTCAGTTTTTACATTTGAGTATTCAACATTAGACGTACCAGCTGCATTTTCTTCATTAACGACTAGAGTAATGTCTGCATGTGAAGGACCAGGTTGATATAAAATATTTAGATCTATTTCTGTTTTACTTTGTTCTTCTACTACAGCTGAGGAGCTCTCATTTGTCCACAAAAAAACGTGCTCTGGAATTTTATCGGTTCAACATTTATATAACTACATACTTACTTCTTACACTGAAAAAATGTCACGTACATATAAAAAAAGAAATAAAAGAAACTGCTATCTTTTTTTATCATTTCTGAAAAATATCATAAATGAGGCCATTATTTGCAAAACTCGCTAATCGACAAAATTTTAGAAACATGTTTTTTTGGTTAAGTATATTTCAATTCTAAATAGAAATCGACTGATACAATTAAAATTTCACAAAACTCGTTCTTTAGCATACAAATGATGTAGAGAAAATTACAGTTATTTGCAGAACTCGCTCTTTGCTTTGAACGTTTACTTGCAAAACTCGCCGTTTGCTCTACCGCCAATGAAATTCGCCGGTTGGTTCACGTGACCAACACGCTATTACAACAGCTGTGTTGAAGAAACGGATTTTCAGTAGTTTATAATTATTCAAGCTAATAAAGAGTTGTATTTTGGCGAATTAGTAACAGTTTTTTATTTTTATGGAGTTAGAAAGTGAAAATGTTTGTTTTGTTAAACCTAGTCCACAGGGAAAAGGACGCAAAAAAGTTCTTCAGTCAGAAACACATAAAAGGAATATCGATAAACTTGCTAGATAAGTTATTAAAATTTATGATTTTAGACTTGTGCGACAATAGTTTGACTTTTTACGCAGTTTAGCTTGTTTTTCGCGTTATAACGTTGAGTAGGAATAGACAAAAAGTTTATTAAAAGAGTTGTATTGTTACAGAAATACACCAAAAGCACTGCCGGCCTTTCCAACTTGCGGTCATAACGGACGACCCGGATTGCCGTATTATTGTACTACACTCACGATGAAGCAAGTGGCAGATTTTCATGCCTACCTTTATCAGTCAAAAGATAAAAGTAAGCAAGATGTTTTGATATTGCCTGTTGTAAGGGAGAAAAACCGAAAAGAGGGAAATCCAATCATGCTGCAGTGTCGATAAAATACCATGTACGTTTGAGTGAGGGTAAGATAATTAGAGTATGTGCCAAGTCGTTTCTAGGAATCACAAATTTAAGCAAGGACCGCATACAAAGAATTGTAAGAAATTTTGTCACTGGGGAGCTACCCAGAGAACGTAGAGGAGGCAATAGAGTGGGTCCAAAAAATGATGAAAAAAGAAACTGCATAAAAAAATTTATAGAATCCATAACATGTACAGAGTCTCATTACTGTAGAAGCAAGACAAGCGTGAGGGTCTACTTGCCACGTAATTTGAATTTTAAGAAACTTTTCGACCATTATCTTCGGAGAGTGCCCAGCCTATGCATCTGAAGCTTAGTTATTTTAGAAAGTATGTCAATGTCTACTACATCATCGCTTTTGGAACTCCGCTGACTGACTGTTGTTCCACTTGCTTGAGAACAAAGGAGCAGTTGAAAATAACAACTTCTTTAGCTGTTCGGCAAAAGTTAGCTACTGAGCATCGTGTTCATATCGTAAAAGCAAAGGCTTTTTTCCAACTACTTAAAAATCCAACACCCAACACAACTTACTTTTCATTTGACTGCCAAAAAAATTTGGCACTGCCTAGACTGCCTGATCAAGCAGCATATTTCAGCCAGCAAATAAACTATAATAATTTTACAATTGTTGCTGGAACTTCTACCGATAAATTAACACCAAGGAATGTGTTTTCTTACGTGTGGACAGAAATTGACGCTCGAAAAGATTCTAATACAATAGCGTCAGCTTTGCAACATGCTCTAAAGAATTTTGATTTTGATGTCAGCATAGAAGCAGTACGGTTGTTCGCTGATGGTTGCGGCGGACAAAACAAAAATTCTAATATGATGGCAATGTTGGCTTATTGGCTTCTAGAAGAATCGCCAAAACGTATTAAACAAATTGAATTAATTTTTCCGATCGTAGGTCATTCCTTTATTCCGCCTGATCGCATCTTCGGCCTTATAGAAAAAGACATTAAAAAAATGCCTGTTATCGTGGAAATTAATGGCTACGACGATTTAATCAGAAAGCATTCCACTGTACGGAAAATCGGTATCGACTGGGATGTGTTTGATTGGAGGACACAAACAAGACGAGTTACTAAGCTCCCTAATTCATGGCACTTTGAATTTAATTAGGCAAAGCGGTTTATTTTTTACAAAAAAGACAAAAATGTTCTAGTCCAAGGTGAACCCAATTACCGCAATGACGTTGGAAAAGCTAAAAGCGTGTGCAAGAAAAATTTTTCACTTTCTTCAATGGCTCCTAAGAAATTACCACTGGGAACAGAATTAAAGGGGATAAAGGAACTATTAATAATCTCCTTTCCAAACACTATGGAGAAAATTGGAGAAGGCTTCCTGAACTAAATTTTTACAAAGAGCACCTGAAGACAGGTTCTACCTCACCAGAAGAAACCGTTGCTGGTTTGGAAAATTGCCAAAATGCAGAAAACGACTGTTTTTTTGTTTGAGCATGACTGATTGAGACTGCTTTTGATTTTTTTTGTTTAAAAACTTTCTTTATATGATTAAAAATGTTAAAGTTTTATTTTCATGAATAAATCCCTTATGCTTTTTATTGAACTAAATACAGTTTATTATTATTTTAGAAATTTATTTGCAAAACTGGTTATTTGCAACAAACATTATTTTTTTTCTAAAAATCTGTAAATATTTTAGGCTAGAAACTTCTAATTTCCATTGCTAAAACCTCTAAAAAACATTAATAAAATTCTTTACGTTGTGAACTAAACACTACTCGGCTGTTAATCGTTTTTTTCGATTTCCCAAAAATTACTTCCGAGCAAAGAGCAAGTTTTGCAAATAATGGCCTCAAATGCTGGTTACAACGTTATTCTTTGCAGTTGTCAATATAATTAAGCAAAAAAATCTCCGTTGTTTTTGCATACACGTCACAATGAATACGTTAACAAGGTCTGTCGTTGACTAAATGTTATAAATAGACGTTGTCGCACTTTACAGTAAACAGAGGATCTGCAATATGACGAATGGCCCGTCTATACCGATGGCCCATCTCTCCCGGACATCCCTATTATATTATTATTTCATGGGTATGTATAATTTCTATTTCTTGTTTACATATTTTTAGTTTTTCAACGTCGATTTATTTGGAAAAGCCACCGATCGTCTAGTACGAAATGTAGGTCCATATGTAAATTGTTATTATTATTCATTTAATTACCAGGGAACTTTAGGAGGAGTAACAATGAGATGTAGTGATGGTACGTATATTTTATAAATAAAAAAGAACAAGTAATTTAAGTACATCTTTATTTTTCTTTTAGGAGCCCAGCATGGAGAAGATTTGCCATATCTGTTTATCACTAATAATATAACTCCAACTTATAACGACCTTATAATAGTTCAGCGTATGACCACAATGTGGTCAAATTTTATTAAAAGAGGGTAAGTTGTTATTTTAAGAGATAAATATCAAATGTGAGACTATATTTCGAATTTCTTATAACAAGATCTATATACAGTGAAAAGTAATCCATGGTTTATTGGTATGTGTCATACGAAATAGATGCAGCAGGATACTTTTCGAAAATAACCAGGTTTCAGCGTCGATTATCATTGTTGTAGCATTTACAAATTTATTGATTTCTTGGTATATATTGAAGTCCCCTCGTATATGTAATAAATTGAAATCTCCTCATATATGAATTATAATATCAAAGAATTTTTCCACGTTTCTCTGTTTCTATCGTACGAGTTAAAACCCGAAATATATTTCAATTTCCTTTTGCGTCGCGAGTTATTTTAAACACATTTTTAGAGTTCGTTTATATCACAGGCGCAAATTCTTCGATATTTTTCTTTAATTTAAACCGCTCCATACTGCGTTTGAAATGAATATTCCCGTTAAGTGTTTTGTTTATTCCAACTCATGTGAATTAATTTTAAAGATAATTTTTGATCACTCTCGCTGAGCCGCGGTCAAGAGCGGTGGGCTTCAGCGTTATGTCCAAATTCACGTCGAATTTGTAAATTGTCATCTTAATCTATTGAGGACGAAAGAATAACAGATTTACCCATTTTAGGACTATATGAAACTAAAGTCATATTCTTCTGAAACCCAAAAATTGATGATAGGGCTTCTTTACTTTTGGAACTATTTATTTGGAACTACTATTTGGAAGAAATTTAACTGGAATAAAAGTTTTCTTCTTTCGTAATGTTCCAATTAGTGTTAGTTTACGTTTTAATAATTCAGTAGCTAACTGGTAGTCAGTAAAGAAATTATCCGTGGTTATTTTTCGCCCAGAATTCTGAACATCTTTTGTAAGTCATAAATCCACATTTCTGCCCCGATGTACGTCACGGGGCTGATTTTCTGCTTTTCCTGTATACACTTCTACACAATACACGTACGCAGTTTTGACATCAAATAAAAGCCATAATTTACTTTCACATTTCTCACGTGGTTTTGTTGGAATATACTGTCTAAAGGGACACTTACCTGTAAATGGTACAAGTTGTTCGTCGACAGTGAGGCTTTCATACGGAAGAAACATTTTGGGAAGTTGTGCTCCTAATAAATCAAAAAACTTCTAATTGGAGCTAACTTGTCGTGCCTCCGTCAAATAGGTCTCAAAATGGGTCTAAAATAAGAATTGCTCCAAAGCTCCTGCAGAGATTTTCCGGCACCTTTATGAACACCAGCCAGAAGAAGTAAACCTTGAATAAAAATACAAAATTTCAAGTTAATTTATTTTATAACTGTAATGACAGCATTTACCTATAAAAGCTTCTAACTCTTCCAGTGATATTTCTATTACACTTAAAATTTTCTGATTTCATATGCAACCACGTTCTCTGTTAGGTTCCTGTTAGTCTTAGTTCTAACAGTAAGTTAAGTATTTAATTAGTGAAAAACAATCTCATTGAAGATATAGGTTCATCGGTAATTCGTTGAGTGACATATCTGGTGGAACCTGACACAGGATTTAGTATATTGATGGATCTAAACAATATACAACGCAATTAGTAAAACCCACAAATTTAGTAAGAAAATATGTGTATCACTTGAGCCACCACTTACCTTACACGTGGCTGAGGCTATTTGTTCCAAACTGTCCTATCTTGAGCAGTATATTGTACATCTTCTTGTACAAAAAGGGAGTACATATGTGGGAAATTATTAGTATAATTTCCGTGTATGTGGACTGTATTATATAGGGCTGGTTCAATAAAATTAGGATGAGTAGTAAAAGGTATACAGACAATAGCAAATTATGTTTATACAAAGTCTTATCAATATTGCTGCTCCACACTCTCACGGTTGTTTCTGGTCTTCACTCGTGGTTCGTATTCTGCACCCGCGAAATCAGTTCGATGCACCAGTTTCTGAACACGTGTTTCGCACTAATATCACTATATAGAGCACATTTTCTCTGCACACTATTTAATACAGTATTCTCGATATTTCTCGCGCAACTAAGGCGAGAAAGAGGTAATTACGATAGAAAAACAGCCAAGATAGATGCTGTTCTTCTTGATAATCGAAGAGAGAGAGACAGAATGACTGTCTTTAGCGGTAGCCGAGAATCCAAAAAAGCACGACTCACCTTGGCGGTAGTCAGATCAAGAGAGAGGACGTCTGGCCCTAGCGATGGACAAACTAAGAGAGAGTCTTTCTTCTTTGCTATCTTAACACTGTCTGTATTTTTTAAGAGAGGGGGTTAAAATGTAAGTAGAAAGGGTTATTAAGGGTTGGACTAAGATAATTATTATAAAATTGTGATATAAAGATAGTTAAAAATACAGCGAAAAAATGACATGATTTTACGCATGTGAAAAAATTGAACACTTCTAATTTAGGAACTTCTATTTCATTTTCCGATTTTTCTCTTTCATCTTTCCGATTTTCATCAACCGTAGATACATGATCTTCTTCAGAAAATTCTTCATCTACTAACTCTTCATCGCTAGTGACGGTTTCTAAATTGGTAGACTCATTCATTCATTCATTTTCTGAGCCTGTTTCAAGAATTTTTCGTAATTTCTCTTCCGTGAGTCCTCTACTGGAGCTCATTTTTCAGCAAGCGCTTATTATTCTGTTTTTCACAAATGATTGTACACAACACTCTCAACTCTAAACTTCAAGCGATCAAGTCTGGTACAACACTAAAGATACTCGACAAACGCTTCTGAAAATAGAATCCATAAAATCTAATCACCCTTCTCAGAAAAATAAACAAAACAAATATCACTTATATTTGGAAACACTTCTGGGTACAGGTAGACCCATAAACAACACATGTGCTTTTTTTATTTCATAGAAAACAAAACTGATATTTCAAAACGCAAATACGTTAAATTGTATATAAACCTTATCTTAAGAATATCATGAAACATCACGTCTCAAATTGACGATATAATAAATATATTAATATTTGAATTTTACTACTGGGTCCAGGCGTACCCAGAGACAATACAAAGGTTAAGTAAATCAATGTTATCCTTTTTGACAACTTTCTATAATACATAGATACACTTTATGAGTGTTGTTCGTGATATTTATAAATATGTTTTTTTTCAGAGATCCTACACCTGACCCAGTTTCTGACCTTTTGCCAGTCAAATGGTTGCCTTCATCCGTTAGTGATCCTCCGCTTTTAATGAAGATCGATTTAGACATGGGATACATTGCACAGCCATACTTAAACTATTATTCGTTTTATAGAAACCAAATATTTTCACTTGGACCATATAGTACTACCTACTGAATTAACCACTGTGTAAAACTAACAATAATTTTTAACAAATTTACAAAAAAAAATATTTCAAGTTGCTTATGTATCTTTTATATGACAGCCAAATAAAATCGAATAAACCATTTTTGAGTTTTTAACAGCTTCCACTAATTCTGTACTGGTCAGAATTTTCCTGGATCATACAAAAGCCCAGCAAGAGTATTTTAAGAAAATCAAATTACCATTAAATAATATGGTTAAGAAAGGTGATAATTCTAAAACAATCAAATTCATTAATAATAAGCCTACAATAGTGAAAAAACTTATAATTTGATCTAAAAAAAACTAGTATGTACCTACAGAGCTTGTTTAATAAAATGAATCAAATCAAGTTAAGTTTGCTGTGTTATTGTCCTAAAATAATGGTTGCGAAGCTCGAGTTACAAGTGAAATTGAAGATTCTGAAATTGTTTTGTATGAGTATAAGGTGATACGCTGCAATTCATCTAAAGGCTCTACAGGGGGTGTTGTACTATATGTTCAGGATAACCTTAAGTGTACTGCCGCTAAATCTTTTGTTAAAGAAGATAATTTTTGGTGTAAATTTATTGAAGTAGATATTGGTTCTTACACGATTCTGATTCAAGATTCTTCTAGATCTGATGCAGTATTTTTAGATCAATTAGAGCATATTTTTGATGAATTATTTAAAAGTAATGTCAATTGTATTCTACTTGGTGATTTTAATTTAGATTTTTGAGGTACTAGCTTCTACACCCAGAAAATTAAAGCAATGTTTTTACAATGTGGCATTAAGCAGTTAACTTAACCTACTAGAATTACGAATTTTATGGTTCCTTATATGGGTTGTATAAGTCTTTTTACTACACTAGATGCATCGTTGTGTAGTTAATATGATCCTTCAGGTTGTTTGCTGGGGTAAATTTCGAGATTTTGTGTGAAAAATGTTCTACCGTCCACCAAGGCACAAATTTCGATTCCGTATTTCGCTGGCTTATTAGCTATATACTGCCTAAATTTCCATCGATCACGGAACGCTTCCAACATTTTATCTATGGTCATATAGAATCCAGGAATGTATGCAGATAAAGATTATTAACTGTCGAATTTTCTTGCCTTTTAGCTACAGCTTGAATTATTTGATGAAATCTTTTCTTGAACATAGTAGCTGCAAAAATATCTGAAGCTGTGCCATCTAATTTCCAGAGTTCATCAGTATTTAAATGTTGCTCTTTCTTTACCCCAGCAAGGAACAAAAGTTTTGATCATATCACTTTGCCACCTTTTGCTTTTTCCTTTACCCTAGGTAACAATATTCCAAGTTTTGGTACTAAATTTGAAAGTGTGTTTCTTATCTTTCAATCATGGTGTTTTATCTTTGCCATAAAATCTTGGATAACCATCATCTTGGCCGCTTTGTTCCATGGCATCTTCAGAATCATTGGGTAGATCTTGTCTGGACTGCTCAGAATCTATATAGTGGATACTGTGCTCAGAACGAATATCACTTAAGTTCTTATCAGAATCTAGTGGTTCCACATCGCTGTATATCTCTTCATACCAATTTAGTAACCGGTTTTTCATTTTCTTAAAAAATTTTGTTTAAAATCCTTTATAAAAGGTATATAAAAATGCCTCAAACGGGCTATCAGAAACACATTGCAAAACGTGTTTGTGATTGTGATAGCCCGTTTGAGGCATTTTTATATACCTTTTATAAAGAATTTTAAACAAAATTTTTTTGTGATATATGGTATACAGCCAGCTACAGGAACTTAGTTTCCTCGTAGAATTTTCATTTTCTTGTCCATATTCTTCTTCAAGTGCCCTGTCCGTTGCGAACGTTGGCTATTAATATGGCAATTTTGATCTTGTTTGCGGCGCTTCTGAATAGTTCGACCGATGTGAGCCCGAACCACTTCCGCAGATTTTGGAGCCACGAGTGTCTTCTCCTGCCTGGCCCTCGCTTACTGTCTATTTTTCCCTGGACAATCAATTGTAGCAGACGGTACTTATCGTGTCTCAATATGTGGCCTAGATATTCAAGCTTTCTTTGTTTAATTGTATTCACGATTTCTTTCTCCTTTCCGATTCTTTGGAGTACCTCTATGTTGGTGACATGTTCGGTCCAGGATATACGAAGAATGCGTCGGTACACCCACATTTCGAATGCTTCTAGTTTTCTCCTTAGCGTCTCCGTCAGCGTCCAGGCCTCCACGCCATACAGCAAGATCGGAAAAATGTAGCATTTAAATATACGTAGTTTTAGGGGAAGAGACAAATCCTTGCTTATGAGGAGCTTTTTCATATTGTTAAATACTGCTCTAGCTCGTTCTATTCTCGCCTTAATTTCTATGGTCTGTTCCCATTTTGCATTTACGTTGGTGCCAAGGTACACATAAGAATCTACATGGTCAATTGGTATGTTACTTATCCGTCGAGGATAAGTTACTAATTGTCGAGCAGGTTGTTGCTTTTTGCTTATCAGCATCCACTTTGTCTTCTTGAAGTTGAGGCTCAGGCCGTATTCCTCACTAACTGAATAAAGTCTTTCCATTACTTGTTGTAATTCGTCTATAGTACTGGCAAGGATCACCGTGTCGTCGGCATATCTTATATTGTTCGTTAACTCGCCGTTTATTTTTATGCCCTCATTTGCATTTTCCATACATCTGTTAAATATTTCCTCGGAATGCATATTAAATAGGAGTGGGGATAATATACACCCCTGACGGACACCTCTTTTGATCTGCACGCTTTCAGTGAGTTCGTTGCCAATTTTTGCTCTTGCTGTTTGACCCCAGTATAGGTTTGCCACAATTCGAATGTCCTTGTCGTCAATACCTGTCTTTCGCAAAATACCTATCAATTGTTCATGATTGACATTGTCAAATGCTTTTCTAAAATCTCCAAAGCACAAATACACGTCTTTATCAACGTCTCTACACCGCTGTATAAGCACCTGGAGAGCAAAAATTGCTTCTCTAGTTCCAAGTGCTTTCCGAAAACCAAACTGCGATCTATCAATATTTGACTCACATTTATCATATATTCTTCTATGAATGATCTTAGTGAACGCTTTAGTGACATGATTGATCAAGCTTATAAGCCGGTAGTCATCACAAATCTGGGCATTTGGTTTCTTCGGGATTGTAATAAATGTTGACTGCAGCCAGTTCTCCGGGATTTTACCGCTATTATATATGTTGTTAAAAAGTACAATTAGATTATCAAGGAACTGTTTGTCTGATTTACATAGGATCTTTAATATTTCGCAGGGTATATTGTTCGGACTTGCTGACTTATTGTTTTTTAGTGCTGCAATTGCATCTTCTATCTCCGATTTAAGGATTGAAGGTCCTGTTTCTCCTTCTCCATATCATCAGTCCTGTTAGATGCAAATATTTTTTCTACGTATGATTTCCATGTTTTTAAGATCGTTGATGGCTCCGAGATAAGATTTCCATCGCTATCTTTTATGCTGTTGGGTGACTTATTGAATTTCCTCTTGTTTGTCATCGATTTTATTTTTTTGTGCATATTGTAACTGTCGTATTTTCGTTCGTATTGTTCTATTTTCCTGCATTCGTTGGAAAACCATTTTTCTTGTCCATATTTACCTGTAATAAACCAAAATAGCGCTTATAATAACGGATGTTCAACAATCTATAGGCATTTCACTAAAAATCTTATATCTTTTATGATAATATTATAACTTTTCTTAGGTGATCTCTCTAGAAATTAACACACGCTAACAATATTTCGAAAATTATGGCGAAATATTTAATAATGTTAGATTTTTTCTAACGGTGCGAGTGATCGGGGGTTAAAGGAAAACAGATTATTAACATAACTGGGGTTAAGTTAATAAAAAAAAACATTCATATTTCCAATGATTATGGAGTTAAAAATAATTAAATTCTGAAAAAATTTAGAAAACAGTGTTTTATTAATAAAATCCAAAATTATTTAATTTAAAGTTGAATTTAAAATATATTACGAGTTTATTTCGCTTCGTAGCTATCAACAATATGCTAATGTAATATTTGCATCAAGAGATACAAAAATGGAATTTATCATCGTACCTACGTTTGTAGTTGTTAGGTATACATCCAGTGAAAAGAGCGAAACGTGGATTCTCATTCAATCATATTCTCTCTTTTGGAGGCGTTTTGTGTTTTGTGAAATTTTTCAATCAGTGTTGTCGTCCATTAGTTATATTATACACTGCCTGTTTGGCTAATGCATCCCCAGTGACATGTCAGAAAAAATTTCAAAAGTCTCTTTAAGAAAGTATAAATAGTATTTTCTTAATAATTAAAAAACGCAGAAGAATTCTTTTAAGTTGAATTAGGAAGTTGTTCAAATTTTTCTAATAGACGGTATAAGGGTTATGCTATAATATTTGCTTTTCTATTCATTTATTTTTAATACGCCTTAAGTAAGTTGTGATTCCTCCATCCTCCATGTGAGCCTCCATCGTGTTCGTGATGTTCCCACTAAACTTCTTCCTTTTGGCGAATCGTCCATCGCCGTCTTTACTATTCTCTTTGGCTTCTATCATTTGACTTGGATGATCTTTTCATTATACTCTTTTCATTCTCACTCAGTCCTTGATGTCGTCTACCATGAACGTAAAAATAAAGATGGACTGGGCATGCCCTGCACTCTGTTCGCCTAAATTTGAAGTCGAAAAGTTTACAGGCGCGGGGAAAGAGATGAGGTGTTAGACTGTGATATTTCCCGTTTAATCAGCGGCGTCTATCTATCTATCTAATTTGCCATCTTCAATCCATCTTTGGACATAGACCTCCCCAATCCTTTTCCATTCTTCTCCGTCTGTCGCTACAGTCATCCATCTAGAGCCCACGTGCTTCTTGATATCATCTGCCCATCTCATTTGGGGCCTTCCTCTGCTTCGTTTATATTCCCACGGTCTCCAACTTATAAAAATTTTGTTCCATCGTTCTTCTTTTTGTCTTATATTGTGTCCGGCAAATCTCCATTTCAAT